CCCCAAAATCAATAGTATTCATATATTCCAGTAACGAACTAGCAGAAAAAGAAATTAAGAAAGAAAATCCACTTACAATAGCTGCTGAAAAAATAAAATACCTAGGAATCAGTTTAACCAAGGAGGTGAAAGATCTCTACAATGAAAACTACAAATCACTACTGAAAGAAATTAGAGATGGCACAAAAAGATGGAAAGACATACCATACTCTTGGATGGGAAGAATTAACATTATGAAAATATCTATTCTACCCAAACCAACCTACAGATTCAATGCAATCCCCATCAAAATACCAATATCTTTCTTCACAGAAATAGAAAAAGCAATCCTAACATTCACATGGAACTACAATAGATCTCAAACAGCCAAAGCAATCCTGAGCAAAGAAATATAAAGCTAGAGGCATAACACCACCTGACTTCAAATTATATTACAAAATTATTGTAACCAAAACAGCATGGAACTGGCATAAAAACACTCAGATCAATAGAATAGAATAGAAAACCTGGGAATAAACCCACATGCTTACAGCCAGCTGATCTTTGGCAAAGGCAACAAGAACATACATTGGGGAAAAGACTGCCTCTTCAATAAATGGTCCTGGGAAAATTGGACTTGAATATGCAGAAGAATGAAACTGGACCTGCACCTCTCACCATATACCAAAATCAACTCAAAATGGATTAAAGACTTAAATATAAGACACAAAACCATAAAGTTACTAAGGGGAAACACTCCAGGAAGTAAGACTGGGCAAAGACTTTATGAACAAGACCCCAAAAGCATAAGCAACAAAAGAAAAAATAAAAACATGTGATTATATCAAACTAAAAAGCTTCTGCCAGCAAAGAAAACAACTGACAGAGCAGAAAGACAACCTACAGAATGGGAGAAAATATTTGTGAACTATACATCCAACAAGGGATTAATATCCAGAATATATAAAAAACTCAAACAATTATACAGTAGAAAAACAAATAATCCAATTTAAAAATGGGCAAAGGGGGCCAGCCCGTGGCTCACTCGGGTGAGTGCGGTGCTGATAAAAATGGGCAAAGGAGATGAATAGACATTTTTCAAAGGAAGACATACAAAATGGCCTACTAGTATATAAAAAAATGCTCAACATCACTAGTCATCAGAAAAATGCAAATCAAAACCACATTGAGATATCATCTCACCCCAGTTAGACTGGCCATTATTAAAAAGACCAAGAACGGGCCGAGCCTGTGGTGCACTAGGGAGAGTGTGGTGCTGGGAGCACAGCAGCGCTCCCGCCGTGGGTTCGGATCCTATATGGGGATGACCGGTGCGCTCACTGGCTGAGCACGGTGCAGCCGGTCTCAAAAAGGACATAAAAAAAAGACCAAGAACAACAAATGCTGGCAAGGAAGTGAGGAACTCTTCTACACTGTTAGTGGGACTGTAAATTAGTACAGCCATTATGGAAAACAGTATGAAGGTTCCTCAAACAACTACAGATAGAACTATCATATGATTAAGCAATCCCACTGCTGGGCATATATCCAAAGGAATGGAAATCATCATGTCAAAGGGATATCTGCACTCCCATGTTCATCACAGCTCTATTTACAATAACCAAAATATGGAACCAATCTAAGTGTCCATTGACAGACGACTGGATAAGGAAAATGTGGTATATTTGCACAATGGAATACGACTCAGCCATAAAAAAGAATGAAATTCTGCCATTTGCAGTAACATAGATGAGTCTGGAGAAAATTACATTAATTGAAATAAGCCAAACAAGAAAAGAGAAATACCACATTATTCTCACTTATAACTGGGTAGAAAGGAAGGAAAGAAACAAAGAACAGAAGGAAGGAAGGATTAAAGGAAGGATTAAAGGAAGGACAAAAGGAAGAAAGTTGTTGAACTTTCAGAAGGGGGAAACAAACCTAAGGATACAGGAGGTGGGGAGAAGGCAGGGGGCGGGGAGTTTGGGGAGGGATAGATTGGGTAAGGGCATAAAGAAAAATTATGACTTGTAATAATAATAATATGCTTATAATAAATATAGTAAGTAACTATCATCCAAAGTCAACCCTATTAGTATGCTAGGAAACCTAATTTGCTCTTTTCTTGTCCTTAATGGAAGAATTCCTAACCCCAGGAATTTACATAAATGCAATTCCAGGCTAATGGTTATTTGGGAAAACCTGCTAGAGGCAAATCAAACTACTGGGGTTGGTCTTTTCCACAACTGATGCTACCTGATTCTCAAAGAGAACATAAATCCTCCTTGTGACTGGCTCAAAATAATACAATAGAAAACACATTAGGAATAAATACTCCATGAGAAGAGTCTATGAAACTTCAAACATAAGAATACTTCTATGCCCATAAGTGTAGAGATATTCTAAAAAGAGCTATAAAATAAATTAGTTGAAACTTTAAAATAATAAGTAAAAACTTTCATATATATCATATAGCATAAACATTATTGTAGCCACATCAGTGGAGAAATGCAGCATGAAAGAACTTCTTATAAAATATGGGTCACAATTTACAGCTAGTGTTGTGTGTTTTTCGATTTGCCTCATAGAGACAAAAGGAATTGAGAGCTGGGACTGTGCCTTGTGCTTGGATGCATAATGATAAGGTGTAAAGTAAGGCAAATCATAACTAAAGCCAAAACGTTTCATTATTTTAGTTATTATTTTAGTTATACTACGTTCCATTTATATTGTCAGAGCTAGGGCTCAGACCCTCTAAACCCATTGTACAGACTAGGTCCCCAGACCCCTCACACGCAGGTCAATGCTAGGTAATTGGGAAAGATTCCAGGAGCTGTTGACAGATGACATGAGCTCAGTCCTCAGTGGCAGCAACTTACAGGTTCAGCAGTGGCAGTGGCCTTGCAGAGGGTCCCAGGGGCACTAGCAGCAGCAGCAGCCTCCAACAGCAGTAGTGGCCTCCCCATGCCCCACCCCACGGGGGGTCATCCTGGGGGTGGGAGGCACCATGCATCAGAGCCACTCATCCTTATGCTTAAGTGCATAACCCAGGACACCTGGGTGCACATGCGCAATTACACTAGACGATAACCAAGGAAAACCTGAGTGCATGTGCCTATTTACATCAAATGTTTGGCAAGATTCTGAACATAAGGGGCCCTGACCATTTTTCCTATATTTTCCCAACATAAGGTTATCCAGCAAACACCAGCAAACGGTTACTGTAGAAATGATTAAATGAAAGATTGTAATTTAATCACCAAAATATAATCTAAATCCCCTTTCATCCTTACCTCCAGTCCCTACAGTCTCCCAACTTTTCATTCTCATCCCTCAAACCCTGGTCACCAGTCAGTTATCTAAACCCATGAGGAACACTTCTTGAATATTTTCTTTAAAAATAGAATTTATCTCATTTTATAAATGTTGTGATGTAAGGGAAATAGTAAGATTATAAAAAATATCCTTTATTTTTGACACTAACAAAAAAACAGGAACTTCACTGGCTGACTGACGGGACAGTTTTGGGAATTGTTTACCAAACTTCTAAACAATGTTCTTCGCAATTGTGGCAAAAAGCTCTTTTGAAGGAGTGAGTTTGATCTAGTTAGTGCAATTTTAGAAAAGACTTCTGAGTAGGTTTAATAAATTTCCTTAACAAAATTATGAGATTTTACTTTCGTGATCAAAAACTATTTGAAGCTAGCTGTATTTATTTTATAAGGATTAATAATGATACAAAATATTTTTAATATCATCCTAATTAAAAATTTTATCAACAGACATAATACTCAAGTTCTAATGTAGAATGATAGTATCACAATATTTTTTTATATTAATTTTTTAAGTACCACTTTCATGATACAATTGTCTCCTTTGTGGTAGTCTTTCTATGACGTCCTTAAAATTTCAGTTATGCCAGAACTAAATCAAAATCTGATTGGATTAAAGAGGAGAGGTAAGATATGACGTAAGGTGGGTGGGGAAATCCTCTTCAATAAAAGCCCCTGTCCATGAATCTCACTCACTCCAGAACCGAGCTGTCAGTGGAAGCAGTTGAAGACCAGAAGAGAATCTACTAGAGGAGAGGTGAGTGCAATCTTACGATTTTTTTTTTTTTTTTTAATTTCCTAGATTTCTACAACGGGCAGAACAAGGTCTGGGGAATGGAGTAATTTGTAAATTCAGCAAGTGTTGTGTGAGGCCAACTCCACGCCAGGAACAGTGAGTGCACTTAGAGCCTCTGGGCTCTCTACTCTGGCAACAGTAGGTAGAACTTAGACTTTCAGTGTCTGGGCTGGAGAAATTACAGTCTTCATTTTCCTGAGTCAAATCACAGCTCAACCAACTCAACAAGATGGTGAAATGTGTTTTCCCCACTGACCTATTCAACCTCTCAGTTTCTGTTAGAGTTTTTGCCATATCCAAGTTGGTCCAACTGAGGGAGTTGAAAGGTTTTTGGGTCTAGACCAGCACTTTCCAATAAAAACATAACATGACCCACATATGCAATGATAAATTTTCTAGTAACCACAATAAAGAGAAAGGGAACAATTTATTTTAATATCAAAACACAATCATTTCAACATGTAATCAATTTTTAAATGTTAATGAGATAGCTTACATTCTCTTTTCTAATTGTCTTCCAAATTGAGTGTGCACGTTCTACTCACAATACATCTCAATTCAGATAAGCCTCATTTCAAGTGCTCAATAGCTACATCGGGCTGGTGGCTACCATATTGAACAGCCCAGGTATAGACACATTCACTACTTCAACTCAAAGCATTATGATGAATCATGTCCTTCATTTTAACAAGCATTCCAAATGTCAAAAGTTCAGGGCCACGGGACATTTATATTTGTTCTTACATTATGTCCTTATTACCTAGTACTAGTGATTGCAAATAGCAGGCACATGCTATCCTTATGCATATAAAGATGAAAGTGTCCCAAGGACTACTAGTCATTTAACTCATAGAAACTTCAATATCATATTCATTTTTCCCCAGACAGCAACCATGGCTAAACACTTTAAAGAAGAGAGTAGCTGTTTTACCTGCTTAAATTATCTTGAAAAACCCATATACCTGAAATGTGGATATGTCTGCTGCCTCCAATGCATCCACTCACTGCAGAAGGAGCCCCATGGGGAAGGTTTATTGTGCCCCTCCTGCTCTAAGGTCTCTCAGAAGAAAGATATCAGGCCCACTCCCCAGCTGGGGAAACTGGTTTCCAAGATCAAGGAACTAGAGCCCCAGCTGAGAACTGTTCTACAGATAAACCCGAGGATGATGAAATTTCGAGGTAAGGAATCTGTACAACCTGCCCCCAGTGCAAAAAGGGCCCTAGAGAAGCAGCTTTCAAACATCTGTCAGTCAAAACAGGCATTAACTGAAGTCAGGCACTGGAAACTTTTATGTTCCCCAAAGAATGACTGTTCTTACCTCTGACTATAGATTAGAGCCACCTGGAAATTTTTAAGGACGTATAATTAGGTCAAGCCCAGCCTCATGCTGTCCAATATGTGACCAGTGGTAGTTAGTGAGCACTTGAAATGTGGCTAGTGCCACCTGTGGAAATGAAAATATTAAATAAAATATATTAATCAAACCTGTTTCTTATTACTTTTTGTGTTTACAAGAAAAATTAAAATTACTCATGTGGCTCACATGGTATACTTTTGGACAACACAGGCCTAGAATGTGGTTTCTCAAATTTGAAAATATGTAAATTACCTGAGGATCTTGGTTAAATGCAAATTCTGATTACGTAGCACTGGCATTTCCTGAGAATCTGGATTTTTTGACACAAATCCAGGTAGTATAGAGGTTGCTTCTTCATGGACCACTTGCTGAATAGCAAGATCCTGCACTTTCTGAATCTGACCCCTCTCTGGCAGCGAGGCCCAGGAATCTGCAATGCTTAAAAGCCCCCAGGTGATTCTAATCCACGGTTGGTTCATGTAACCACTATGATGAATGAAATTATTCCAGTGCTCAGTCCCTCCCTCCCCCCACCGGCCAAAGAGTGGTAAAAGTGCATGTGGTGATTGCTCCTATAGGTTTAGATCCAGTTGCAGACTCTGAACCTGAGCACTGCAGCATGTGCTTCCAAACTGACCACCCTGGTGTTCAGAAAACAATGCCTTATTCCATATCCATATTCCATGTTAACTCTGCATCATTGTGATGTAGTTTAAAGAAAGATAGACAGTTAAAGTGCATTGTGTGAGCTCAGCTGCATGTATGGTATGCTGAAGTCAGGATGCTAGACCAGACCTACCAGATTCCTCATTCCACATTTCAGACTCATTGGAATGTGCCAAGTCCTTGCCCATTCTCTATTTCCTGTGTCTTACAATGTGTCATATCATCAATGATGGCTTTGTACGGTATGAGTCCAATGAGTGTACTTTCGTACATATCTCCATCCATAATATCAATTGTGAAAAAAAATGAATTAGTTTTCTAATTGAGCTTACTTATTGCTCCCTGAAAACTTTTATTTAAGATCCTGAAAACTCCCAAAGTTTTTTGTCCTTGACAACCCCTTTTCCAATTATTAGACAGTTCTAATTTTTTCCACTGAGTCAAGCAAACAAATTTGTTTTTGGTCCAGAAAGTTCACTTCTGAGGTCTACGTTGGCTCCATTTCAGGATCTCATTAGGACAAGCAGTTCTTCTAGATTCTCATAATTAGGGTTACTTAGAAACGTTGGCAATCCACAAAGCCATTCTTTTCCAAGTTTACCCAACCCTCTAAACCCATGCAAGTTCTGGGTCTGTGTTGCTGTCAGTATCCCAACACACCCTCACTAATGTCCCTAGGAATCCCTTTATCTTGATTAATCCAGAGTAAACCCATCTCATCTCAGGAGTCTAAGCATTATTTCTTCTTTTTTTTTTTTAATAACTCAAGGAAAGCAAAAGCCTAGAATGCAATTGCCTAGTCAATGAGATTAAAAGGAAAAGGTAATCACAAAGGAAAAACAAATTCTAATATTTCACTTTTATTCTGCACTCAGTAACATTTTCCATCATTCGAATATTTATTAGACATCTATATTTTCACAGAATCTGTGCTAATTTGTATAATAATTTTGAGAGTAAACAATCATGGTCTTTCCTTTCATGTATTTTATGCCCTAAAGGGAAAAACAAATCTTTAATCAAATAATTCAATAACTTAATATAAAAGGAAGTCCTACTATGAATGAAAGGGATTGTTACAGTTATATTCATTCATTTTTATATGTAAATGTGACCCATCAGAAGGCCATGGCAGTTTCCCCAGGACAATTCTGATTTAGGAAAAAAAAAAATAGTACAAAACAAGTGAAAGCAAATGAGATCTTTGGGCCTTTGCAGTAGAAGTGGAGACTGAGTTTATAGTGTATGTCTTTGCTGAACTAATTTTTCTTTCCACAGTGGATATGACCTTAGATGTGGACACAGCCAACAATTATCTCATAATTTCTGATGACCTGAGGAATGTCCATTGTGGGTATTTCAATCAGAATAAGAAAGAGTGTGCAGAGAGATTCAACTATGCATTGTGTGTCCTGGGCTCCCTGCGGTTCACTTCTGGCCGCCATTACTGGGAGGTGGACATGGGCACAAGCAAAGAATGGGACGTGGGTGTTTGCAAAGAATCAGTTAATCGACAAGGGGTAATTCTACTCTCTTCAGAACTGGGCTTCTGGACTGTGGGTTTGAGAAATGGAGACTTCTTCTCTGCCAGCACTATACCTTTGACTGCTCTCTCGGTGAACCCCCGGTTAAACCGAGTGGGGATTTTTCTGGACATAGCTATGGGGATCATTTCCTTTTGTGATGTTACTGATGGATCCCATATCTTTACATTCACTACAATTTCTACTGAAGAGCCACTGCGTCCATTTCTTGCTCCTGCAAGTGCAATTCATGATGATCAAGGCTATTTGAGAATCTGTCCTGTGATGAATTCAGGTATGACCAGTCCCCAGATTTATCCTGGGCAAGGCAAATAAGCCTTTGACTACAGAAACATTTAGAGAAAATTGCTGTGCTCATAACCATAGCTAAGGACGTTTCTTCTTGGCACACATATGGTACAAAGATATTGCAAACAGTATGGAGCATTTATGAATCATAAATACTGTATTGTTTACGGAAAACTACTTTTTAAATATAAGGTATTGTCATGGTTGGTTTTTTGGTATGTATGTTTATCTTTCTGTTCCAGTTAGTATGTTCTGAACTTTCAGATCAATTTCCAAATGTTTTTCTTTGAATTTTCTGTAATATCAACTTATTGTGTTGTAGAAGTTACAAAGTAAATACAAATTTGGATGTGACCCAACTGATTAAGTGCTTTTCTAAATTATAAGAAAACAAGACCTATAGAAACAGCAAAAATATATATGTGTATGTATTCAATTACATCCAACAACTTTGAAAAACAAATTAATTTCAAGTATACATGAACATTCACCAGGATAGACATATGTAGTCATTAGATAAAACTCATTAATTTTTAAATTGAAATAATGTATACTTGGTTATCTAATCACAACAGAATTAAATTAAAAATTACAGAAATAAATCTGGAATATCCTCACATACGTAAAAATGAAACAACATACTTCTAAATAAACCATAGATTTCAAATGAAATTATAAGGGAAATTACAAAACATCTTGAATTGAATGAAAATAAAAGAGCAACTTAAAAAATTTGCAGATGCAACTAAAGCAAATCTTAGAGGAAAAATTATAGTATTAAATACTTCTATAGAAAGGAGAAAAGTACCATAATCAGTGATCTAAGCTTCCATTGTAAGGTAATAAACAATTCAACTGCATAGTAAATGGCAGGAAGGAAATAGAGTGCAGCAGCAATAAATAAAATAGGAAATGGACAAGTATTAGATAAATTTTTAAATACCAAAGTTTTTTTTTAACAAGGTCAGAAAAATTGATGTCTTTAGTTACAATGAGAGAGAGAGAATTACCTGGAGTACGAAGAATGAATGAAGGGAAATCACTACAGATTCTATAGATGTCAAAAGGATAATAAGAGAAAACAAGAGGGTAGAGTCCAGAGATGTTACTAAAAATCACAAAAGGTACAGGACAACCCTCAAAAACAAAAAATAGTCCAGGCCAAATGTCAATATTACTAAGGCTGAAGAACCCAACTGCTGTGGATTGATTGAATTGTGTCCCCCAAAGTTCATATATTAGAAGCTTAATTTCCACTGCAACGGCTGAGGGTAGGAAATTCTATTATGGTAATTGAAAAGTGGGCCTTGAAGAGATGATTAAGTTGATGGTTTAATGGTGGTCACAGGCATGGTTCAGAGGGTTTTTAAAGGAGAGCATAGTAGAGTCTCTCTCTCTGCTCTGCCACTTTCTACCATGTGAGACCCCTGAATTGCTGTAAAGCCGCCACCAAAGAAGACCCTCACCAGATATGTTCCCTAGACTTTGGACTACCCAGCCTCTGAACTGTAAGCAATAACTCTAATTTTCTTTATAAATCACCCAGTTTCAGGTATTTCCTTATAAGCAACAGAAATAGACTAATACATAAGGCCCGCCCGTGGCTCACTTGGGAGTATGGTGCTGATAACACCAAGGCCACAGGTTCGGATCCCTATATTGGGATGGCCAGTTAGCTCACTTGAAGAGTGTGGTGCTGACAATACCAAGTCAAGGGTTAAGATCCCCTTACTGGTCAACTTTAAAAAAGAAAAGAAATGGACTAATACAGAAAATTGGTACCAAGGAGTGGGGTCTTGTGTATAACAGATACTTGAAAATGTGGAAGCAGTTTTGGAACTGGGTAATGGGCAAAGGATGGAAGAATTTGAAGAAGCAGATTAGAAAAAGCCTAGCTGCTGATAGGAGTTTGGAAGACAAGAAAATCAGGGAAAGTTTGGGACTTCTTAAAGACTGATTAAATGGTGGTGACCAGAAAGCTGATAGAAATAGAGTAAAGCCCATTCTGAGAAGATCACAGGTATAAACGAGAAGGGACGTACTGGAAACTGGGGCAAAGATCACCCTTGCTATGAACTAGCAAGGAACATGGCTGCATCTGTTCATACCCCAAAATTTTATGGAATGTGGAACTTCAAGGTGCTGACCCAGAGTATTTGGTTGAAGGAATTTCTAACCAGCAAAACATTTAGGAAGCTGCAGGGCTACTTGCAACAGCCTGTGCTGAATGTTTTGCTGCTTAGAAATTTCTTCCACCAAATACTCTGGGTCAGCACCTTGAATTATGGCAGCAAAGGCATGACATTGTCTTGCTAGGGCTAAGGCTCACAGATCCTTCAAACCCATTGTACAGACTGGGTCACAGACCTCTCATGTGTCCAGCTGGGTCATCAGACTTCTCACATACAGGTCCATGAGATAGGTAATTAGAAAAGATCCCAGGAGCTGTTGGCAGGTGACACGAGCTCAGTCCTCAGTCCTCAGCTTCCTTGGCAGTGGCAGCGGTGGCAGTGGCTGTGGCGGTGGCGGTGGCAGTCACGGCTTACAGCAGATCCCCCCCCCCGGGGCATCCCGGGAGCAGAGGGCAGGGGCTCTGTGGATCAGAGCTGTTCATCCTTTATACTTAAGTCCAATAACCCAGGACACCTGGGTGCAAGTCAGACAACCTGGGAACACCTGGGTGCCCACGTGCATCTACATCAGACAATAGACAAGCCAAGGAACACCTGGGTGCATGTGCATATTTACATCAAATGCTCAGCAAGATTCTGAACATCTGAGAGACCCTGACCATTTTCCTTCACTTTCTCTACAGACATAAAGCCAGAATTTATAATTAAAAGGTAAGCAGAGCATAAAATTTTGGAAAATTTGTAGCCTGGCCAAGTGGTAGAGCAGACAGCATTTTCTTAAGAAAAATGCAATGGTGCTAAGAAGATTAGTACAAAAGAAAGGAATTATCAAGAGAAGGCAGGAAAGCCCTGAAGGCATCACAGAAGCCTCTAGGGCCAACCTTCCATTATAAGCTCAGAGGCAGGGAGACAGAATGGTCTCAGAGAACAGGCCTGAGATACCCTCCACGGCCTCAATGCCCAGAGCTACCTCGGGAAGCTGCTTCGGCTGCTCTAGCTGTGGCTAAATTGGCCCCAGGTGTGGCTGGGCCCACAGCTTTGGAAAATACAAGCCAGAAGCCTTGGCAGCATCCACATGGTATGAACTGGCAAAGAACTTGGCTGCATCCACATGGTGTTAAGTTTGCAGTCTTGCAGAATGCCAGAGCTTTGAAAGCTTGGGAGCTTCCATCCTGATTTCCAAGGATATATGGAAAAGCCTGGGGGCCCAGGAAGAGGTCTGTCTCAGGGGCAGATTCACCACAAAAAGTCTTCACCAGAGTGGTGCCAAGAGGAAATGTGGGGTCAGAGTTGCAGCAGAAAAACCCTACCAATGCCATGCCTACTGGAGCCATGGGAGTAGGACCACCATAGATACCTCAGATTTATAGAGCTACCAGCATGCAACACCAGCCTGTGAGAGCTAAAGCATTACCTGAGATGAGGAAAGCTATAGGAGCAGAGCTGCCCAAGGACTTGGGGACTCAACCCCCACACCAGCATGCAGAGGACATAGAACATAAAAGTCAAGATACATGGTTCACCAACTTTAAGATTTAATGCCTGCCCTGCTGGGTTTCAAACTTGATTGGGACCTGTTCCACCTTTCTTTTGGCCTATTGCTCCCTTCTCAAATGGGAATATATACCATATGTTTGTCCCACCGTTTTATCTTGGAAGTAGATAACTTGTTGTGAATTCACAGATGGGACTTTCAACTTTGGACTTCTGAGTTGAAACAAGATTTTGGGGATGAAATGAATGTATTTGTATGTGAAAAGGACATGAGTTTGGGGGGGTCAGGGACAGAATGCTGTAGATTGGATATCCCCCCAACCTCACTGAAATTTAAATCCCCACTGTAACTGTTGAGGATGGGAAATCCTGTTATGATCACTGAAAGGTGGGGCCTTGAAGAGGTGATCAGATTGTAGGACCATACCACAGTGAATGGATTAATAATGGCAGTCGTGAGCATGGTCCTGAAGGCTTTAAAAGAAGAGCACATGAGAAGTTCATTCTTTCTGCTCCACCATTTTCTGCCCTGTGAGACCCCCGTATTGCTGTAAAGCCAGCACCAAAGAAAACCCTCACCAGATGTGTTCCCTGGAGTTTGGACTTCCCAGCCTCTGAAACTGTAAGCAATAAATTTCATCTCATTCTTTCTGCTCCACCATTTTCTGCCCTGTGAGACCCCCGTATTGCTGTAAAGCCAGCACCAAAGAAAACCCTCACCAGATGTGTTCCCTGGAGTTTGGACTTCCCAGCCTCTGAAACTGTAAGCAATAAATTTCATCTTCTTACAAATTACCCAGTTCCATACATTTTGTTATAAGCAACAGAAATGGACTAATACACCAACCAACCTTGTGAATATGTAATTTTCTTTTACTACTTTCAAGATTTCCTCTTTGCCTTTGGCCATTATTTTGACTGTGATGATGTCCAGATATCACTTTCCTTGCATTTAATCTACTTAGGTTTTCTTGAACTTCTTGGATCAGTAAGGTGATGTTTTTCACTCAAATATGGAAGTTTTCAGCCCATATTTCTTCAATTTTTCTGTCCTGCTTTCCTCCCTTCTTGCTAAACTCCAATTATATGTATGTCATAATGGTTGATATTGTCTCACAGACTGTTCTTATTTTTTGTCTTTTTTAACTGTTCTTCAATGGATAATACTCTGTTCTAGTCCAGTGACACTTCTTTCGCTATATAAAATATGACAAGCCCAACTTTTCATTTCGATTATTGTAATTTTAGCCCTAGAATTTCCATTTGGCTTTTCTTTATTTTCATTTCCCAATTTTTTTTTTAATTTTTACTGATTCTTAGCATACTTTTCTTCATTCTTTGAACACCTATTTATTTCATTAAACATTTGGATAAAAGTTGTTTGGAAATCTGTATCTGTTAAATCCAACATCTGGGTCCATTTGAAATCAGTTTCTATGGATTACTTTTTTGCTGACTAATGGCCCATCTTTCCTGCTTCATTGCTTGTCTAGTAATCTTTGGTTGGAACAGGACACTGTAGGAAATGTTACAGTAACTGTTTTGTTCTTCTGAGGTTTTTTCATTGGTTTTATTTTTGTTTGATTGCTTTAGTATGCAAAAATACTTTCCTGGACAACTTTACAAAACATATCTCCTTGAAGTGAGCAGCTACCTATGTCTATGCTAAGTTCTTTCAAAGACTGGCTCCTTAGTGGTCTCTATGCATCTGTGAAGTTTAATATTCAGTCAGTGTACGGGCCGGCCCGGTGGCGCACTG